GTAACTGGAAATCTCTTGATGCGTTGAGAGAGAGAGAAACCATCTACATGCTATGACTGAGACTAAGTACTGGGAGCAAACAGTGGTGGTCACGCGACCTTCCAACAAGAACCAACACCCGTAAACGCCACAATCAAACTGTCCGGGGTTTCAACCCGAGGTCATGATCGGCAAGGTTCGTAACCTTGGAACCGGCCGTCACATCAATCCATCGGCGGATCCACTTTGGGAAAGCCACGAAAACGAACACATGCGCGGTAATTGCGATGGACATAACGCTAATGCCGCGTCAATACCGCTCCAAGTAGAGCCATGAATTCCATCCCAGCGTCTTCCCCACGAGCAAAATTTCATCCCATCTACGATCTACACTTTACAGTAACGCGTAGCAGATTTCTCACCTTTCCGCCTACAAAAATAAGCGAATCCAGCAAAACGCAGCTTTTGTGTTTTCAAAATCTTATCACATTCGCATATTAGAATTCCATATGACGCTAGGAACAGAAACAGAAAAGCACCAAGAGTCCACGCTAATTGCTAAGACTGACAAGGATAAACGACAAGGATAAACGCGGCAGGGCACGTTATCATCCGGGCCAACGACCCCGCTTATCACAACGCAGGAGTCGGACCCACCTGTGGACTGGACAGATGATAGCCGCATGATATTTTTGTCATGTGACAAGATTCCGGATTGTTTATCGTGGCCAGACTTTCCCAATTATTCTGGTTTGGTTCCTGCTTGATGACCGCGCGACTAGACAGATCCCTCAAGCAATTTGCACTGCTTTCACTCGCTCTTCCCTATTTTCGTTGCTCCGATTAGTACGATTGATTTGAGGCAATTTTTGCCCTTCGCCAGTTGCGTCGACCTAGATCGGCTCACATGCAGATCGAAATTGTCAGGTCTAGAAAACTACCTTACGCAGCGGGTCCCCAAAATCTGCCTCGAGGTTAGAACACCGAACAATGAATGCACTACCCGATGAGATCGCCCAGTATTCGTTCGTGATGCTGGCACCTACAGGTTCCACGATCGGTCAGTCAAGTCCAGCGCGGCCATCAAAGTCCCAAAGCTGGGACTCGATATACACGCCGTACTATCGCTTGGTCGTTGCTGCATATCTACGCCTGACCTACTGTGAAGAGGCCTCGCTGGAATGCTCTTCGTCTCGCGATGGATTAGTACAAAACACGAGATCGTCGGTGCATGGCTCCCCGTTCTTGAACTCAGCCATGCTTGGTTCTTCAAGAAAGAAACCAGTGGTGCGGTTATCCGCGAGGTCAAACTCACTCATCGCCCGGCGGTACAACATTAGTAAGGGCTTGAAGCCCGAGGAGGTCAGCCAGAGGATGGGCTTGAAGGTATCTAACCAAGGCAGACTGCCGATGTGACTTGCATACCGTAATCGTGCATGAGCATATAAAAATGTCTAAATCTCCTACAGGACTGTCCGAAATATTTCAAACTGTTAGAGATTAGATGATCTCAGGTGACAGACCTCTGCTGTTCCTTCATCATGAACGCCTCTTAAGGGCTTTTTATCATCTTCATGGACTGAATTCCGTTCATCCGAGAGGCGGATCCGCAGGTTCAAGCAGATTATTCGAAAGGAACACGAGATACAGTATGAAAAGCTCGAAATGCCTTTCGAAAGTTAGTAACCCTTCGTTCTTCTTGCTGGCGGCTCGCTGATCATCTGATAGATTTACAAGTCATCTTGATCTACCAGATCACAGCTTTTGGCTGAAGTCCGAGAACCTTATATTTCGGCTTGCAAGCTGTTCCTGGGGTTCCTGGGCGGATGGGAAGCCCTTTCGCGTCTGCAGAGCATCTCGGGTGGATGAAGAACTCCGGTGATCCAGTAAATTTTCGATGTCCATTGTCTGAGTCAAAGTGATTTTGAGAAGTGAGAAAAGATAAAAGCCGTCTTATTTGGAAAGAGGTGCTTTATTTCCTTCGCCGTCCCTTGATGCACGTTGTTTCGAGTGGCTCTAAAGGTGGTGTTCGGTTGAAAGAGTTCGCCTCTGGAAACATGGGTTCGACAGGTTTATATCCTTCGTGGTCCTTTGATGGAACGAACGCTCTCAGAGGAATTTGCAAATATCTCTGCATAGAGGAACGTCCCGGGAGAATTATTGTATTGTCGCTTGCGCAAGATCGACCCGATGATGTAGACGGTGGAAATGGCACTCTATCGCAAGTTATAGCGGGCGCCTGCCTGCCTGTTTCCCTGCAAGTAAGGTAATTCAGAATTTTCGTTGCGAGGTGCATGAGTGCTGTTTATTTGAATGTGCTTTTCGATTTCTTCTTTGCTATCAAAAGTGTACTGTTGTGAGTTTTTGGTCTTGATACTATGGAGTACGTTGATCATGTATATAAATACCAAGAAATATGGAAACATACTCTCCCTATTTAAAACAGAAGTTCTTTCAGTTTTGACCTACGGACTCAGTCTAAGTCGATGATTATCTCTTGTTTTGCAAAATAAAATAGTTCTTCTATTCATCCAATCAATAACAAGACAAAACGTAAAAATAATGCCTACTAGACACCAACCGATATAAGGATTTGAAACAATGACTCCCGTCTATTTGTTCGGCTCTAAAACGTATTTTACATATCAACAATATTTGACATGGCACATCCGTGACTTTATTGTGGGTGCCACCTTGGGAAATAAAAAAGATGTAGGTTCGGATATCAACCCACCAAGTTGGACGGAGCTATTCACATCTGAGATGTCTGTTACTATGCATTATATACGTGTAGGTAAGAATTAATTATGCATACCGAGTTGCCCCATCTCGCACTGTTCCTCCTTTCCCCTGGTACGAAGCATCTGTTCTAACACCCTTTTTTCTTGTACCGAATTCCGTAGGCTTCGAATATGCTTTACTAGACGACCAAAATATATATAATTGGTTCCGCGAAAGAAGCGGATCAGATCGGGAATTATGTCTGTTTTATCAATATGAGACTAAACATACACGGAGGCTTTCCTACCTGATGTGGATTTGACAGAAGGCGTTTTTTTGGATATCACCCAAAGCTCTTGTTGCGTAATATAATGGAGCGACCGAAATCCAGATTCGTAGTATTCTTTTAGGGCAGCTGTATTGCTTAGAGGAATAACCTTTGGAGCGACCGCAAGAGATGTATTCATGGCGAGAATGATCTGAACGATCCTAGAAGGATGTCCAGGAAAACCATTAACTTTAAGTCTTTAAGCATCATTGCATTCAAACATTCTACCCTCAAAGTGTAGATTTCAACCTTACAATTCGAAACAGTGTAAAAGTGTTCAAGGCCCATTGCCATACCTAGGTAGAGTTTGATCATCAAAAATTCTAGTGGTGCCATTTTTTGACCTCTTCGTACTCTTTGATTCCGATCAGATTGTTGCAAGGGGATTATTCCAATGTGATCCGTAAGTCTAATTTTGTTTATGCATGCTCGTAGTAAAAGGGAAAGTCAAAGCGTTTGAAATGAAGAAATTGCTCTCATTGTCTTAGCCTGCAGTGCATGGGAGGTAATTATCCAAACGATTGAGTCTAGTTATCATGTCTAAGTTTGCTGAATGTGGTTGTGATCTCAAGCGGTAAAATGTGTTTTTTTCGATGGTACACAACTTTCAGCGTAATTAGAATTATCCTTTTTTTAATATTTCGCGTTTCTTTTTGGCGAGATATATGGTGGCCTAGAAGGAGAAATCTTCACATTAAACACATTTTTGGTCTGCGCACACCATGTCGCGCTAGATCTTGAAAAGTATCTCAAAAGCACTCTCTCTCCAAATTGGAATGCTCGATGACAAAGGAGCACGTGGGATGGAAGAGAAAGCCCACGCCTTGAATCTATCACAGTCCAACAGAAGGGGGAAGGGGGGTAGAGCAACGGATAAAACAAACTATTGTGGGGAGAATGTCTGGCATCGCACTGCATCCACTGATCTTCGGAATCCACTTTGCAAACAAAGTAAAAATGACTAAGCTCCGAAAGGACCGCGTCGCGAGTGACCATTCCGCTTTGGGTTCCAACATTTGGGACCTAACGTTGGAACCCAAAGCGGAATGGCTCAACTCCACCTGAAGGACCCCAACATACACCACGAGAACGCTGCAGTGCGTTGCCCTAGTTCTACCCTGGTCGAGGTTTTTTTTTCCTCTGGGGAGGTTAACCACTGAAAAATGGGTGGCCCGATCAATGTAACAAAAGATAAAAGAGGGGGTTTCTGAAGATAAAATGGATCAATTCCCCCTAAATTTATGACTACATCCTCTCACCATAAAATAGCAAGCTTTCCAAAATCGTCGGTATCCCTTCTTAGTAAATTGCTAGACTATTACTGACACCAAGCTCAGTTGCCCATCTTGTGTTCAATTTGGGTTACAACAACCATCTTCGCTTGCGGGCATAGAGAAGAGAGAAGAGAACCGCATCCCTGTCCTGGTAATCACCCGCAGCCATGGCCTGAGCTGCCCATGGGCAGCTCCCATAACCGTCGAGACAAATGCTCCCTCTGCCGGGGAGCTTCCAACGGCCACTAGGCTTATCGCCGTGAGTCTACACGCCTATTTCGTGGGCTTTTTTATTGACTTAAATAGTCTACAGGAAACCAGACAATAGCCAGCCGAGAGGAGATGTCTCATTTAACCAGCATTTGGTTTCAGTCTCCAACTCTCCGAGATCATACTGTTGTACTGCCAATCCCCGGGCCTCATTGCAATTCTCTTTTCTGTGTGTTTTCCATTGTACGAGAACTGCCAAAGAATTGCCCGGATTCCTGTCTTTACATAGCTCTATGCAAATTACAGTCCTTATATCTCACTCCTATTCATAATTTTCAAGTGGCCTAAAACAAAAGTAGTTATTCGTCTTTCCTCGACGTCAGATGTCCTATTCTAATCGGTGTTGTGTCTTATGGTAAAAAAGGAAGAGATGGAAGAGGGACGATGTATAGATCAATATGAGCAAATAAGATGAACAGAGGCCTAAGAGATCAGGCACTCATGAAAGCTTTCAACTAACGTAATTCCCAAGCGAGCTGGCCACCCAAGCGAGCTGGCCACCCCAACCAGCCTATTAATTTTGAACGCATTTATTTCAACCAAAACTCCATCAAATTCAATCAGCTAAATTCTAGGTCTATCTGGACATGCATCTCTTCTATGGCCCTGATTTCCACATGCACCGCATTTCGGTAATGCCCTTGTTCTTGGTAATAAAGGTGCTTCCCTGTGCGCGCGGACCTGGGGGCGG